AGGAGTTTAGACTATAGCTCACATAGAGTCTTGGGGGAATATTCAGGATCAAGGTGCTTGGGATCCTGAGGCTGGCAGCTGGGATCCAAAGGACTATGCTGCCCATCCTGAATTTTTTTCACGGAAAGCGGATAAGGGTTTGGGGCTTAGGGGTTAAGTTTTAGGGATTAGGTTTTAGGAATTAAGGCTTAAGGATTAGGGTGTAGGGTTTAGTTTAGGGAGTATATGGGGTTTAGGGCTGAGGGTTTAAGGTTCAGAGATGGCGGTTGAGGGTTTAGAGATTAGCGTCTAGGGATTAGGGCCTAGGGTTTACGGCTTAGGGATCCCTAGCCCACAGGAGTCCCTGGTTTCCTCTGAATTTTCTGTATGTTTGTCTCCATTTCATTTCCATCATTGCGATATGGGCGCGAACCTGGAGTTCAAGTTGCAGGGAGATTAGGTTTTGGGGGTTTGGGATCTCGGCTCTACAGTTCAGACTGCAGCATTTAGTTTGGGGGGTGGCTATTGGTCGAGACGAAAGGTTTAGGATTGAGGTTCAAGATTCTTACGCGTAGGGTAGGTGAAAAATGCAGAATCTGGGCTTTCCGAGCCGAGGGCACGGCTTGGGATGTGAGGCTCCTGGCTTCTTAGCTTTGTATGGCTGTGCATTTGGGAGTTTCCCAAAATTAGAGGTACCTTTTTTGGGGGGCCCCCATAGTGAGGACTCTAGTATTTTGGGGTACTTGGGTTCCTGTTCCTGGAAGGGAAACTACCACTTAGGATTTAGGGTCTTGGGCTTTGGGTGCCTACTGGATGGAGAAGCGCGAGGATGACAACGAAATACTTGAACTATCGTCGTTCAACGACACCAAGCTTTGCGGAGATGTGTAAACATAATTGAGGGGAGCCACTTTCAGTGGTGGAATAATAACGGAGCATATTATCAAATACTACATCCAAAAAGGAGAACATCATCTTACTCTGCGATGGTCCCCAGTTAAAATGCGACTCCAGTGTACTGTGCAAATTCTTTGTTGCGAAGATGCCTGGGCGAAAAAAAAATGTGTAGAGCCTGTAAGGTACTCAGAAATATTGGTCCGATCACTTGTATAATATAGGAAGCCCAGTACAAGGACCATAATTGCATCATCACCTATCCTCAAGCTATTAACAGCGAACAAGCATCATTGCGACAGTTGCTCGAAGCCAGAGCAACCGACAAGTCATACCTCAAGGTGTGTTGTCAGGGTGTTGGGATTTACTGTGTAGATATCTTTGAAACATGTGTGGTCAGGGCAAGCAACACATTTATATTTAAAAAAACATGCAAAACTGCTGAGAACCACAACTTCCTTGGTGGGCCCTGAACTAACTGTGTGTGTTTCGGGGAGTGGGCAGGCAAATCCATGGCTCTAAGGGCTCGCTCATGGGATATGCTGCTGCATGCTCTGTACTAAGCTCCACACACCGCGCCCTGGAGATCCCCTTTCTTCTCCGCGCCCAGGATCGCAACTGGCACCAGCATGTAGATGCTGTTCCTGAGCTCGCAATGCTCATCAGCAGCATGTGCATCAAACAGAGGATGCAAGTCAAGCACGGTCCATATCGGAAAAGCCCATGCTGCCTCATGGCTACTGAAACACCAAAGTTCTTGTCGCATACTACCACCACTGCTACTGCTTCTGCACACTGCTACTGTTAGAAACAGTAGCTGTTGTTGCAAATGCTGCCAGCCAGAATGGCACTAGTACGAAGAGTGACAATAGCAGAGGCAGCCTGAGAAATCAGGAGAGGATCAGCTGGCTATTCAGGATCTGCACGGCTTCCTTGACCACTGGCTGAAGCTCGGGGCTGTCCAACGCCACGCGATTGGCATCCGAAGTACAAATCCCCGTTGGCCTCACACCTGCGGATGTCAGAAGCAATAGACGGTTGGTGTTCTGGGATGCAACATGTGGGGCTCAAGATATTGGGCATTAAGTTTAGGGCATGGGGTGACGAGATGAAGATCAAGCTTGTAAGTAGCTTTGCAGTTGCGCCTGGACATGTCTGAATATCACAATGACTCACAGGGATACGCTCAAGATGATGTCCTCTCCATGCTAACACCTAATCCCTAAACCCTAAACCCTAGCCCTACACCCAAAAAACAAGGCTTGCAAGGCCACACAAACGTTACTACTGGCCAGCAGGAAATGCAGAAGTGAATCCCTTAGGTCTATTCAGGGTTTGGGGATTCGGAATTAAGGTGTAAGTTTTAAGGATTACGGTTTAGGGACGAGGGTTTAAGGCTTCAGGATATTAAACCAATAATGGAGAATCAAAAGGAAGAGACATGGAAAATGAAATGGAAATTGGGATGGTATAGGGATTCAGGTAGTCTCTAGAATCACCGATAAACGTCCCAATATCGTATTCCTTGCAAAGAGAATGCACTTGGTGATGAAAGAGTCATTGGCATATAGGCATTTGGGGTATTTGAAAGGTCTACAAAACCTGAACCAACAAACCTCAATTCAGCTTTCAGAACCCTCCACCTAGGAATGGGGACGTCGCCGTCTCCTTGCAGATCAAGCCAGCAGCGCAGCTGCCGTGGGTGTTGCCTGTTTTAGATGTTGGGGATTTGGAGTCTTAGGATTTAGGGGTCTTGGGGCCTAGGGTAGTTTAGGGTGTGGGATTCAGGGAATGCATCCCTTTAAATACTCCTGCAAGCACCTTTTAAGAACCTAGAGTCCCCCCCTTAAGTAAATAGAACGTGGCTGTGCTCAAAGCCATAACAAGATCCACAGAAATATCTATCTACCTCAGGGGGACTATATTCCCTACTAAGAGGAGGCAAGCCGCAGGTCCCTCCACAGGTGGAACCCTCGGCCAGTCCTTGGCTCTCCGTGGAAAGGATGAAAGCCAAAACAGCACAGTGTAAAGTTGAGAGTGTAGGGTTTAGGGTTTAGGGCTCAGGGTTTAGGGATTAGGGTTTAGGGTTTGGGGTCAGAATGGCTCTCCTCTACACATCCAAAACAGAGGCATTCATAGGAGTGTGAAGGGAATCCAAAATGGGACCATGATGGAGGAAGTACACATCCTAAATCCACACACCCGAAACCCTAAACCATAAACTCTAAATCGCGTGGCCAACTGGAGCCCCTTGGAGCAACTCTGGCGGACAGAGGATGGCATCCGCCAAGCCCACCTGAGTAATTGCAGGGACCAAGCCTTAGGATGGAGATTAAACAGGGGGTCAAACAGTGATATATGGGATATACACGTTGGTTGGGGTATTAGGATTATATGGGGACATGCGTTCAGGGTTTAGGCATGTTACCCCAATAATGGAGAATCAATTGGAAAATGACATGAAAGCCAGGGTTATGAAGCGATATAGAATGGAATAGTTTGGGGGGTCTGGGGTTTAGGATTTAGGGTTCAGGGTTTAAGAATAATGCTGTGTGGTTCCGGCTTGAACGCGCGACGCTACATCCTAAAGACTTCGACTTGAGACACGGATCACGAGCCCAGGGTTTAAGGTCTCAGGCCAAAGGCTTCGGAATTAGGATTCCAAGCGCGGAGTTTCTGCGTGCAGTGTCTGGGGTTTGGGGGTACTATAGGATTTAAGGTGTGGAGTTTCGGTAAATACGTGGTGGTCCGACAGGAACCCTCTTGAATCAACTTTGGTGAAGCAGTAGGAGATGTTGCGACAGATCTCGGTGGGAAGCGGACTCATTCAAAGTAGTTTCCCAAAAAAGTGGTCCCCAATATAGACCCCAAGCACTATAATCTGTATCCCCAAAAAGGGACCCCTAGTTTTGGTAATCCCCACAATGGTGGTTTAGGATTCCAGTCTAGTTGGCTTCAGATTTTAGAATTTGCGCTCTGGGCTGGTTGAGAACCATGTCATGTTTATCTAGAGTTGGTTTTTGAGCTGCCAGTTTTTGGGTTTAGAATTTGAAGGGGTTAGGTTTGTGAGTCTGGGTGATCTTGAGCTTAGGGCTGTTTAGTAAAGGCTATATGTCTCGCTGAAATTCATGGTTTGGGATTGAGAGTGTTGAAATTCAAGGGGCAGAGGCCCTGCCCACGCAATCTAATTTATCCCTGGATCCCTACAAGAGCGTGCATGATAGATGAAGAAATTATGAGGCTTTCATCCCTTCAGAATTCACGCCTCTTCTACAGTGGCCTAGGCACGAGAAATGCACACACCAGCGGCAAGCGATGCGAGAACATTGTCCGCACGTTTTCTGGCTCTCAGTAACCGTTTTGCTACACTTCCTTGCTGGAGCCGATCGACGGGGATCTGTCATTAGTAAGGTGCTGCCTCATAAAGAGAAGTAGGTTTAGAGGCAACTCTTTAGACAGAAAAGAGATAGAAAGATAGAGTAGCAATGCTTTACCAGGACTGTATCGCACACTGTTGTCGCATATAATTGGGTGAAAGAAGCATGAACAGAACTTGCTCAGGTTGCAACCATACACGCAAGCAAGAAACTGTGTCGAGACAGACAGGAGGACCTTGCAAACTGATAGCTTTTGCGGGGGTATCGCATCATATTCTACTGCCATCCCTAGAAACCCCTTCCACGTCCTGTGCTGTGCAATCCCCATGTGACCCATGAACAAAGCCTCCAAAACACAACAAAGTTGAGCTTCAATGGGGTACATCAGCAGACCTCGCCATCGATGCATGGCCATTTCGATGCACGGTCAACCAGAGAAAACTGGACTGTTCGTCGGAGAAGAGAAGGCTGCTAGAAGGTCCACCAAAGAGCCCGTCAAGTACTTGCTTCAAGCATTTTAGGATTTGATGAGCAAAGTGCATTGAGAACTGCGGACTTCCGTGCAGCAGCAAAATGGGCCAGCTAACACTCAAGCCCTCTGCAAGGGCTGATCCCTTGTTGCTGTCCAATCGAATTTTGTGATCTGGCATCACGATGCACATCTGTACAGCATGAAAACACTTGTGGTGAAGACGGTGTGCTCCAAAGGGGTGAGTCCCTAGACTCACCCTTCTTCTGCACTTCTCCACC